GTTGCTCTGTTTCTTTATCTAATCTAGGCCACCATACCTTGGTTCTCAAATTTTGTTTGTTCTTGACAATTCCCAAATGTCCCCCTGTGTTCCAGGGCTAGAGTTCTATTTCGAAGTGATATAGGTATAATCAGTCCGTGTCCTCTCAACAGTACACCCTTACTGATGTTCTTTCATGCCGTACTGCAAAATAAGCTGATATGGATTTGTCTTTCCAGTTGCCAGACTAAAGTGCTCGTCCAACTGACTGCAGTTCTTTATCGTTCTTTGTCGCTTCTTGCACCTCTGACAAGGTAATTGTTCTGGGGATGGCTTGCTCTGTTAGAAAGTTAATATATTCTTCGGCAATAGACTGTCCCGAGGGCTCGTTAATTGGAGCCCGCGAAAGAAAATCTGCCGGATTCCCTGTGCCTGAACGATAGTTGACCGTGTAGTTATACTGCTGGAGGTGCAATTCCCATCTCTGTATTCGAGCAGATTGTTTGGCCTTTGCTGAGTAAAGAATTTCTAACGCTTGATGGTCTGTATACAGGGTAAACTGACAACCAACTAAATATAAATGAAATTTCTCGCATGCCCACACACATGCCAACGCTTCTCGTTCTGTCTGACAGTACCGCTGTTCAACTACTGTTAGTGCTCTACCAGCAAAAGCAATCACTTTCAAAATGCCCTGTTCGTCATGTTGAACCAAAATGGCCCCTAGGCCTACAGGACTAGCAGTAGAATCCACAACCACACTCGTTGATCTGTTAGGGTCATAATATACCAACATACATTGTTCAGATAGCGACGATTTAACCTGATCAAAGGCCTCTTGATGACTGGCGTCCCATGTCCATGGAACCTTTTTGCGGTCCAATTTCCGTAGCGGCGCCGTAATGGTGGAGAAATTAGGACTAAACTTCGAATAGTAATTCACGAGTCCTAGAAAGCTACGAAGTTCTTTTACATTGTTTGGGGCAGGTGTATTTTTTATTGCAACAACTTTCTCTTCGTCAAGCCTAATCCCATTCTTACTAAGAATCATGCGATAAAACCATAAACTGTCCACATTGAAAAGGCACTTGCTTTTCTTTGCAGTCAATCCTGTGTCTCTTAGTCTCTGCAATAGAGCTTGAAGATTGTCATCACGTTCTTTTTGAGTTTGCCCCCCAAAAATGATGTCATCAACAATGTTTTTAACTCCATTCAATCCTTGCAATGCATGCTGGATAGCATTTTGAAACACTTCGCTTGCCGAGTTGATTCCGAAAGGGAGTCTTTTCCACTGGAAAAGACCTTTATGAGTGGTAAAAGCTGTTACACCACGCGATTCTTCATTAAGCACAATTTGATGGTGCCCGCTTCTTAAATCCAGTCGAGAAAAATGAGCTGCATTGCTCATATCATTTGTTATTTCCTCAATTACAGACATAGGGTGGTGTTCCCTCTTAATGGCTTCGTTAACTCTGCGATAGTCCCCACATACGCGTAACTATTTCGTCCGGATTTTTTGGCTTAGGCACGATCACTATTCCACTGACCAACTTTGTACTTGTATTAACGACAGGTTTAATCAAATCATTATCCTGCTACTCTTGAAGCCACTTCTCTAACTGAGGACGAAGATTAAAAAATATTCTACGGTATGTTTGGACCACGGGTGGCACGCTATCGTCAATGCGCAGTTTTTGTTCAAACCCTTTAATATGCCCTACACCTTCAAATACATCTGCGTACTCTTCTAAAAGAGTCGAGACTCGCCCTGTGCCTGGCGTACTTGTGCATACTTTTGTCATTTTCTCACCATTACTACTTGTCGAGTTATTGGTTGTAGTGGGTATCTGAACTTGGGTTGTGGTTTGTCGCGAGGCTTTTCTATCCAAATCACCCTCTTGTACTGCTTGCTGAGAAACTGAATTTAGATCAAACTTAATAAATCTTAATTGCTGTGCTGTTGTATTACTTAGCAATTTACCATATTGAGACGGTAATGTAAATTGAAGCCTCTGTCATACAATGTTTTGATTCTACTAGTGTCTCCACTTTGCCTAATAGGGGAATAGGGTTATTTTCCCCAAAAGCATGAATCTTTGTGTTGGTTTTTTTTAAGGATATTGGTTCTTTGCTTTGTTTGCTTAAATGTTCGAAATCCTCAAGACCCAAAACGTTAACAGACGCACTACTGTCCACCATCATTTTCATTGGGACTCCATTAACACGGACCGTAGAATAGGGATGCTTACTTTGTTGTGCTTGTTGAACTGTGAACATGTGTTCTGAACCGCTGTCTGAGTCACTACTCGAATTACTTGTTGATTTGTTGGTTGATGAATGCCGTTTATCAACCTTATTAACACGCTGGAATGAACTAGTAGCTCCTCCGGTTGTTTTACATACACGACCAAAATGCCCCCTTTTATGACACTTGTAACATTCTTTATCTACAGCTGGACATTTCTGGTTATCCTTGTGTGGAAACCCCAGTCCACATTTAAAACATCTCTTACTAGATGATGACGAGTACTTACTGCAGGTTGTTCTACAATCTTGGCCAAAAGTTCGTAGAACGACAAAACAAATTCGCAACTTTTTAATATACTTGGGTTTTAAAATCATTTTGCACCTCCCCCCGCTCCCCCCATTCAATGTTGCTTTCCCACATTTCTAGTACACGTACAATTTTGTTGTAGAGTAGGTCAGATCATAAATATACACGAAACGGCAACATTGAATGGGGGGAAGGGGGGCGCGAGGCCTTAAAAATGCATAAAAATTTATCGTCGTCCTACGGTTTATGGCCAAGATTGTCCGAAAATTATGTTTTTAATCCTTTACATATATATATGTATTAAATTTAGAACACCAGTGGTAGAAATATTCAAAAATGTAGTTATGTTCTTGTACTACTGCATAACACTTCAAAAGTCGTTCTGATATTCCTAAATATTGAATGATAGGTAGATATTAATAAATATTGTATACTGTAATTTGAGACCGGATTTCTGGGTAGGGCCTTAATCTTCTCTTCAAATAGCATATATGTCCAGGCGGTGTGCGCACTACGCTCCGCGGAATTATGGGTAGCCGTATTTCCTGCTTCGAGAGAACATGGCGGCATTTTAGTGAAAATATGGTAAGTTTGGACGTATATTCTCGTTATGTTTCGTTGATATTTATTCTTTTAATTAAACTTTTAATAAAGTTTAATAGTTATAGTGTTAATTATTGTATTTTGTTTATTGTGTTTGGCGAAAGAGAGTATAAAACATCGTGTACACGTGCAGCATGCTATTATAACATTTGACGAGTCATTTTATATCACTATTTGTTCTTGCTATGTTGAGTTGATGGAGGACATTTTTTATTCCAATTGTGCTGAAATAGTTATAAGAATAATGAACGCGCCCCAACGCGCCCCACATTTTGACAGTGAATTTTTATCCAAAATTTGTTGAATTTTATTATTTTTATAGGAAGATGTATCAGTAGCAGGAAAGAGATCCTGTGTTCCAGAAGGCAATACCCCGGGAAAACCGCCTGCCAAAGTCCGCACACGGACAGAATCGGAAGCTTCTCGTAAGAGATGTTTGTTTGGAAAAGATAATATCACTTCAGAAAAGTCAAAATGGACAACTTCCGAAGATTCTGCTATTGTCCAGTATATATGTCTTTACTGGGAAGATGCCCACAGAAACAAATGGCCAACAATGAAAAATCCTCATTTTTGGGATGGTTGTGCACAAGCTGTAATGAACATATGCAAAACAACGAGAACTGGTAAGAGCAAGTATTTCTTTTATGTAAGTGAGTAATGACAAGGGTGTACATGCTAAACAGTTCAATGCTCATTGCATAATTGTTCTTAATAGTGGTAGTAAAGTTTAAGATGCAAATGAGTCAGCCCACCAAGCAGGATGAAATGTTCTGAAGTTTATCACAAGTCATATTTATCCTGTTAATGACCTATTTCTGTAATAATTCCATATGATTCTACTACAAAGTGTGACTTTATCAAAATGTTTTGCCTCAGTAGGTGGAGCATGTCGTTCAAGAGTGAGCAAGTATTTGGCAAAACACCATTCCACCCTTACAGAAGCAGAAGATGCTCTTAGAATAGACTATGTGCTTGAAACTTCAAATGATACCAACTTTGTAGACCAGATCTCTTCCACTCCTAAGCAATTTCCACAAACAAATGTTGAAGAGTCATTGTCCCCCATATTCAGCTGTTCACCACAAAAGAAAGCATCCATATCGAATATTGGGGATTTGGTTAAAAACCTAGTTTTTGCATTCCAAAATACAATGACAAAACGGTTAAAGATGCAGTTACTAAGGTATCTGTACAAACAAATAGTCATTGAATCAGGTGGAACTGAATTGGCCACATTCGTTCGACCTAACTTCCTGGATGTTAGCCTGGATGCAATGAAAACACTCCAGACTGAAAAGAAAGAAAATTTGGTTTACGGCTTGTCAATATGTTTCAAAAGAAAGGATAATGATGAGAGTGAAACAAGAATGCCATTGCAAAGAATGCCTTTTGGTCTTGTGGACTACAACATCAAATATTTTTCGAGTCATTCAAGTCAAAAGTTGAAAATGGAAGATCACTATGCCAAGTGCTTAGAAACAATGTATGCGCATTTTGGCCACAAGTGGTTATGTTTGTTTAGAGGTCCTTATTGGCAGTATGAAGAAAAAGTGAATCCTGAATCTGCATATGACTTACCCTTGGTGAATTCCATGCAAGTCGACAGTGATCTCGTGCCCACTTCCAATAACATGGAAGTTGTGAGTGTCCAGTCAGCTGGCATTCAAGTATCGAATTCCATGGACAAGTCATCTCATGATAACACACATTCTAGCAATTCAATAATTGATGATGTTTTAGCAGAACTCCAAATTAATCTTGAAGAATTTGAGTTTTCATCTATGGATGAAGAAAGTAATAACATTGTGGAAGAAGAGTCAATGCCATCATGTGATATTGAAATGAGTAACAGTTTACCGACTGAACAATGCCAACAACAAGTTGAAGTCTGTGTGTCACCAGAAGCAATGGAAGTTCATCACAAAATTCAACCACAACAGTCAAACAGAAAACCAGTAAACAGTTGTTTGTACGACACAATGAAGGTATGCTTAACAAATTTCTAACACAGGTGTAACAGGCTGAATTGTTAAGTGGGGCCAGTAAACATTTTTTCCCAACTGACACTGAAAATCTCCCAATTTTAATTCAACCTTATCCCCTCTCCCACACTTTGTCCCACCCATCTTGTTTTTTCTTTGTCCCACCCATTTTATTTGTCCCACCCATCTTGATTTCGCCAGCGCTAATATTAAATTTGACAGCCATTTGTCAGAGGCTGTGTGTAATTTGTCGGTACCGTACTTGCAGTGATGGCAAGCTGAAATTTTTAGCCTGGTCTTGCATTCGTATTTTCATGATTTCATCGCATTTCTTTGTTGTTCGGTAAAAATTTGATACTAAATTTTGAGTTCAAAACGGGAATAAAATAGGAATATGTATAAGGAAAAGAAAAATTTAGGGAAGGAAATATTGGGAAGAAGATGGACAAACTAATAAATAATGCTTTAGCAGAGTGGAAGCACTGTGTAATCCTACTGGAGTCAACATGACAGTCGTCAGTGAGATGTTTTCTTTCATTACCGATATTGATTGTAAACTCATTTGAATTATGGGTATATTTGTTTCAACTTTGATTTGTCAACAAGTTACTCCAACTCCATTTTGCATATTATTGGTGTAACTCAGTATATGACATCATGAGACACACTTGCAATGCTATTTTCAGCCAATAAAATGCAGGTTGAAATTATCTAAAATAAAAACTTTGGCCTTCATTAAGTCTTTCTTGTTACGGTGAACGTAACAATACCAAAGTGAGTGAGTGGTCTGACTAATTCATTAGATTCCTCAGATAGAACTCTAAAATACTGCCTACTAAATCAATGCTGAGAATACATTTGAACACAGTTTTCACAGTAATGGTTTTTAGCAGGCTAGGGCAGATATACTAAATGGACACCACTCAACTCACAGCATCCTTGGGGCTTCGACCTTCTATCTTTGTATACTCGCTTTGCTCATCAATTAATAGCCGGAGCCACAGTAGAGCAAAACAGTATTAGCCATACCCAAATTATTGTTAGCCAGGACTTCAAACAGATACCTGAAGGGCTGCATTGTCCACAGGTAATCACATATAGATCTTTCAATCATACATTGTATGAGTCTTCACAGCGAATGAATGTGACTATGTAGCTTTGAATGTTTTCCTTGTGTTGACTAAAAAAGGGTAATCATAATGGTGAACTAATATAATTAATAAATTATTTGTTAAATTGGATGATGACAAATCAAGAATGATCACTAACTAACCGTTGCCTTTTAATTGTATTGAAACTGTTTTGATTTTTAATTTCCCTCTGCCAAAATTTGCCCTACCTGTTAACATTGTATTTTTTTGGGGGGGCAGGGCAGCTGCCCTCCCGGCATCCCCCCGGCCAGTTTGCCTATGTTGTTATATGCATTGCAATGTATGCAATATATCCAAACATGCCCGTTCAGAAAGTTCAGAAAATTTACTCCCACAGTGTGTGAGAAAATCTTTGGTCATACTATGTTGGGGGTATAGCCAACCCCACCCCTTTGCAATTCCCCTCATTGACGTAGTTTACTACGTATGGAATTCCAGGAGGTGGTTAACAAGCTGCCTCCTCCGCAGGCTCCTCTATATAGATCAAGTTTAAATATTGGTAATATATAGATCAGCGCGTGCACTGCAAGCCCGATAAAGACGCACGCCTTTAGGCGCACGCCCGCAACTAAGGACGAGCGCGCAAAGGAAAATGGGAAGACGAAAAATTACCAGGGAGGAGCCTGCCAAATCCTGTGTCGAAACTGTGCAAATGTGATCGAAACTGTGCAAATCACAGCAAATGTGATCGAAACTACGAAAATAGGGTTTTTTAGGCGATGGAGGAATCACTTGACGACAGTGGGCCGTTAATGAGTTTAGAAGACTTCCAGTTTGATGATAGTGATGATTTAGTAGCTTCTTTCAGCTTCTTTTAGAAGCTTCTCAATGCCGTCCGTATTATTTGATTTCCGTATAAACATATGACGGGAAGATTAAATATTAAAGAACTCCGCGAATATTTGCAGTAGAAATACGAAAATACCACCAAAAAATTCCGCTTGAAAGAAACTATATACTCGAACAATGTAAATGGCCATAAAATATAAACTAGCGATACTCGAACAATGTAAACTAGCCATACCATACCTATAATATACAATATACTCGAACAATGTAAACAAAGTATCACTAAGCCAAACCTTTCGCCGAATATAACTTCGGCTCCTTTCAACGTATCTTTTTCGTATTAGTCTTGTTCGAATCACAATCCAACACACTATTTAGAGTGTTATTTTCAAGCTTGTATCTGCAGATTTGTATCTTTTATTTCGGTATTTAAAAATATCTAAATTTCAGCCGGTGGCACGCGCGTGCGAGTAGAAACCTGATATTTTGAAAACTTCAAAATAAATATTTCTGCTCGTCGTATTCAAACGAAACTTTCTACATAAAATCGCTTGAATACAAGGAGTATTTTACTGCTATTGACTTGGGCGAATTCTGAAGAGTTTAGAAGATATTCAAGTTTTTCTCGATATGAAATAAGAATGTTTGGCCAAGCGGCAAGTAAATATACGATTGTTTTGCCTGTGTCATGTTATGACGGCATTTGACCCCCCGTTCGAAAGGTTATTTTATGAGGATTTCAATGATGGTTTTCGTTTTAAAGGGGTAAATACTTGTCGAGATATTTTAATCTTCCCCACTCCAAAGTCGGAAATGCAAATATGAACCGGACGACAATCCTTCGTCCGCCATTGCAGCGGACGCCATCTTGAATGCAGGATTTGCCAGTCGCTCCGCAACTCCTCCCCTTCCCATCATTCCGCGCGCCCCCATTAATTTTCGTCTTTTCCTAATGTCCCTAATTAATTATTTGATAGCAAGCGACTGGGGACGAGGCAGGTTAACAAGTATGTAGTTGTCACATAAATAAGTCACAAACTGTTGACTCCATTTTCTATATATTTTTATATATTTTCCAGAGCAAGGTGAACGTAGCTAGTGTTGGACCTCGACAAATTCAGAAAAAGATCTTGGGTTCTGGATTCTCTAGAACTGTTGATGTTCAGGTATAGTGTTTTGAATAAATTAATTGTCTCATAAGCTTATTGGCAATAGTGCATATTAATGATCATGAAAACATACAGACGTATGAATCCATGTTTTGAAAAATCTGTTTGGGCTTAAGAAGCAAATGATTTTGCAAGCTATCTAATTTTTCCAGTTGCGCCCAGGTGCGTGCAGAATTTGTAAGACCCACATTCCCCCAAGTTAAGCTACGTTTACACGCTGTGATTAATCGTGTACGATTCGTTTTCTGGCGTATGTCATTGAGTCAACACACATAAGCTGGCTATATTTGAAATTTCTTTTTAACGAAACGGCAAAGAATTATGACGCCATCACTCATTTTAATACGCCAGGGGCCGGTTGTATAAAACTCTTAATCACTTTTTTAATCACTATTTTGTAGTTAAATAGTGATTAACTCTCAAATACGGATGACGGTTATTGGATGACGTTTCCACTAACTATAGTTAACTTTAATCACTTCTTTATACAACCGGCCCCAGAATACGAATCGTACACGACAAATCGTAAAGTGTAAACGTTGCTTTAAGCTACGTTTACATGCTGCGACGCCAGAAAACGAATGGTACACGATCAATCGCAGCGTGTAAACGTAGCTTTAAACCATGCATGTATGTAACAACTGCTCATCCTAATTGTAATTTAGATGGAAGCTTTAAGACAAGCAGCTGCAAGTAATCCAAATGGAAGATGGTGGATTAAGGCTGACGCTTGCGATGTCCGTCAAGGTTTGCGTGAAAGCGTCCTTGCACAATGGGCAGGTGATGTAGGTCTTGGTGATGGCTATGTACAGGAGTTGTATCAGCAGTATAAAGCTGATTGTTCATTTGTTGAGAAGTTAACAGCATCCAATAAATTACAGTTTTCCCTAAGCGAACTTCATCAATTAAATGGCCTTCAATTAAATGGCCTTTTTATCCTCTGGCAAAGCTAAAACAAAGGATTCTCATGAAAAGGTGTTGCAAGCATCTCGTCCGTCAGAAAAGTCGTTGATGGAACTCTCGTGGGATCTTGTTGGTTTTGAAGAGTTACAGAAGAAGAACAGGGAATTAAGTCAAGAGATCATGTCTATTGTCAACAACTTCATCTGTGGCCAGCAAAAAGTAGTGAAAACTGCCATGGTGAAATTACATGATGAATTGCTCGGTTACTTGAAAGAGTTGTACAGTAAGAAACGGATTGCTGCAACCCATCTCATGATATTCATGATCTCGGATGAATTGCGGAACACAAAACCATATGCTGTTCCTGTGAGGTTTTTACCTTACAGTTCCATAACTGATGCCAAACTTAGGGAGCTCGAATTGCAAATTGAGCATGTTATGGTAACTGTGGATATGGTAGTTGTTGGTAAGTATTTATTTGGTATTATACTGTTATGTAATGCTGAAATTAGTAAAATTGCAAAGTTTGTTTGCGAAATGTGGTAAAGCTTGGAAAATATAGCCTTGTGAAGTTTGCACATTTTGTACATGTTTTGTGTATGTATTACGTGCGGAAATTACCATTTTCGGCTTAAAAGTGGTAGCAATTTCCGCACGTAATACAAACATATACAAAATTTGCAAACTTCGCAAGGCTATATTTTCCGTATTTTACAACATTTCGTAACCAAATTTGGCATATTTACTAATTTTTAATAAGTTCTTTTCGGGACTTTCTTTTTTTTTGCCTACATCATTTGCCTACATCATCCATTCTATTCACACTCCTTACAAGTTAATGAGTTATTACAATCCATATTTGTTTATATGACATATAGGTTTTACTACAGACGGTGAATTCAACTCATTGAGAACAAATGGAATAAACCGCCCTGTTTCAGTTACTGAATTCATTAAGAACTCGAAGAAGAAAGCTACAACTCTAACTGTGGATACTATAAGCAATTGTTTTGCAATGGATCCGAACGGTACGTACTTCCTATATATTTTATTTCCCTAAAAACTTTATATCTTTTTGGAGATACTGTACATATAAGGGAGCAATGCTGACGTAAGGGCATTATCAGTCCAGCCAATACAGTGGCAGTTTCATTAAATTGTTATCATTGATATGAATATTTATTATGGGAGGCATAAGTGCCCCTTTTTAAGGCGAGAGGAGCCTTTTCCAGGCCCGCCGAGAGAGATGGGGGGGGGGGACAAATTTCCTATTTTCTGTGGGCACCCAGTCATATTTATGTTTTTCGGGCAAAGTACCGAAATTTGGTATGGAAAAAGTTGTGGAAAGTGACACGAAAGCAACTAAAACGTTATTGTCCGTAAAAAATTTCCCTGCTGGCAGCCGTATATGTACAGTACCTTGTAAATCTGTGGAAGCACTTTTGATATTTTCAATCATACTGATAGTTCGGGAAAATATCTCACTTTAGGAAATCCTATCAAACGACATCCATCAGTACCTTTGGAAGATGTGATATGTTTACACGAATTCATGTCATCAGGAGCAGATGAACCAATGTCATTCTACAATGCACTTCTTCTACTTAGAAGAACGTTGTTTCCATTCTGTCACGATCCATGTCCTTGGGTTAAAGGTATCCGTAACATATTTGAAATTAATCAAAAGCTTTTTTGTAAATTTGAAAATAATTTTGAAACAAAATGAACCACGTTTCGATGCTTAAGCGCGTGCGTCAAACGTCGTTTAATTAAATTTAATATTGCTAAAATTAAATTGACAATTACTGTATTTAACAAATATGCGCCGAAGGCGAGGTGATTATGGGGGAATATTCGCCTAGACGAAGTCGAGGTGAATATTCCCCGATAATCACCGAGCCTGAGGCGAATAATTGTTTTAGTATTTTTGTGTTTTTTGGGACTGAATTTATTTTAATTTCGCTCATTTCTTTATCAGTATAACTAACGTCCACAAAACGGCTATAGCCACCATTTTGAAAATTTCGGTTTTGTTATATTCACCTGTAGGTGAATATTATATTCACCTGTAGGTGAATATAACAGCTTAATACGTCAAATTTGACCAATCAACTTGTACAGTAGGACTTGTTATGTTCACTTGTGAAAAAATACTAAAGAATATTTAAAATTGACAATACACCCTTCACGTCACTTTGGCTGTAGACCCTTGTTTTCGTGTATGTGACAGCAGTAAAAGGCCACGTCTCAATCACGAAAACGAGGCTCTATAAGTTGTAAATAAGTTGTTTTAACATTTAATCGTTATCAAACTTCATTCCTAAATATTTAAATTCAGATACATGCTTTATCGTTTAAGTTTTCTTTCATAGATCAATTAAAGGTATCTGTGGTCTTACGCGTGAGCTGATTGTTGGCCTCACCGCTAATCTGGAAAGTCGGGAACTGCGGCGAGTAGAATATATGGAAAGAGGTTTGCGCCCAGAGCACCCAAGAGCGTCTTCTAGCGACGACGTCGAAGGTTTTGTGGCACTTTTGCATGAAGTATTAGGTCTGGAATTTGACCTCAAGCAATTTTACAGCGAATCGACAAAGATCCTGAATGAGTTCAGGAAAAGAATAGATCCAAACCTGGCATTTTACTATTGGACAGGTGTAAAAGATCGTTACAGAGATTTTGAGCTGCCATCTTTTAACAAGCCTACTGGACCCGGAATTGTTGAAAGGCTGGACCAAGTACCATTCTCCCGTAGAGGTGATCGCGGGGTGTTTGTTGCTAATCGAGCTTCCCTTCCACAGCGGGGTCAGCTGACAGCGCGAGCGAAATTTCATAAAGCTCCAGTTGAACTACCACCGTCAAACGCTCTATGCAGGGGGTAAGACTGTTAACATGGTTGCAACGTACTTTTCCATATATTTAATGTGTAACTAATTTCAAATTGATAGTATTTTTAATTAGGCCAAGCCATTGTATACATATGTACTAGAAGAAAAGATATTCCACTTGGTCATGGATGCTGATGTCTGTTTGTTTTTAGGTTTTGTGCTGCATGTAGGAATCACAATAGGTTCCCTTTTACTTTGGCCACACATACATAACTATGACCATGCCCAAATGGAAACCACCCTTTTTGAAATTAACCGTGGTTTTTACCTGTGCAATTATTTTTGATAATCTCACCTGACGATTATAGCTGAATCAGCATTAGAGTTTACTGATATTTTGCAACAAAACATGGACGCTTGGAAATACGAAACTAATTTCTCATGTTGAATACGCAAAATAAATTTCATATTTCTGAACATCCATGTACTGTATTATTCTCCATATCGTGCATGTTATACCTAGAAAATTAAATGCCTTATTGCTTTAATAAAGTTAAATGTACATAGCTGTGTGGTGTTTAGCACTGACAGATTATAGAGATATAGAAGGTTGTAACCATTTTATTTCACTTTCTTGCTAGCTACAACAACATCGTTATGCCACATTCCATGCTTTGTAATTTCTAAAGTAAGATAATAACCCATAGTACTAAATGTTGTACTGAAACGGATGTGCTTTGCTGACACATCCAAGGATTTCATAATGGGCTTCAAATGACTTTTCAGTTCTCTTGCAATATATCCTACTTTATTGTAATTATCTGAAGCCATGAGATAAACAGCAATTGCATTGCTGTCGTTCACATTTTCTGGCTCCACAACAAGTTTCGCAAAGACATGTCGGTTGTACTCATGAAGCTAGGTATGTGTATGCCTCTTCAAGTGCATCTTGCCGACTAGTCCAATAACATGTTCCCATCACTTTAAAGGGTAGTGTATGCTCTCCACTGTAATCATCGGTTTCTTCACCAACATTCCGAACTTGCACTCTTGCAACTGACTGTATGGTGTTCTTTAATGGGCTTAGTGTCCATAGCACTACCAGGTCTTCATTATCCACCCTTATCGTGCAATGGCTTGAACAGCAAAATCTGCCTGGTTCAATGTCAATGTCAATATCCTTGTTTACAACGCCATTGCACTGCTGTCCATTGCTCAGTGTAAATTTTACTTTTTTAAAGTTTAAGGTTATAACTGGCAATGATGGAATTCTCCATGGGAATGAAGCACGTTCGATTGATGTAATCGTGACTTTAATCTCTGTGGTGTCATCTGCAAAATGAGTAAAGCATGGTCTATATCTATATATCTCCTCAAAATTAACCATGTGAGCAAAAATTCACACCAAGTACACAAACAAAGGATGAAAGGAAGCAAATTCAAGTTGGAAGGGTACTATGGTCTAAAGGTCACCTCTTTGAACAGTTTAGCTGGGGAAAAGAGCAATGTGAAAAAATGTTGAGGACATATTCCCCACCCTTCACTTTATATGGCACTGATTATAATACAATTATAATACCTTCATTATTATGTTCTCTTTTTGAAACTGTAGATATATCATCACTATTAAAATAGATAAATATCAAAATGTTAAAGCAAATGTTAAACTGTAACCATAGAGACAATTTCAAACTTTGGTTGCTAGAATTATTATTAGAAGACTTCTTCCCGCCCTTAAGATTCATACTGATAGTCCATTAGATGGCAATGTGTTCAGATGCACACAATATTATTGAACTCTGTCTAACATGTACACCAGAAGATTTTATTTTCTGTTGTAGGATAATGACTAAAATAACATTGCATATTTCACATAAATAATACATTACCTGCACTAATACTGGTAATGGAAAAGTGCTTAAAATAACATCCATTTCTTCCGGGTTGATATTACCAATTGAAACATTTAAAGATTTTTCCTTAGAAAGCAAGCTTGTTATGAATTAAGGAATCGCCAACATAATAGCAAATTTGATGATGATGATAAACTTTATTTAAAAACATGCTAGTCTTTTCAGCATACAAATGACACCAGACAGCACTTCTGTCATATAAATTGAAAGGAAATATAAGAAGAAATTATATAAAAAGAAATTCCAAACATATTTTGTTGTGAGGTTGCCACTGGAGTATCCCTCCATTCACTCAAAGGAACAGTTTCCTTTGTCTTTGTATCTATGACTGTCTGATGGAGGAAAACAGATTTGGCTTCTAGAAACCTGTTTTTGTACCTTTCAGGGACATTTTTCAAATTCAACAAGGCCTTCATCAGATCAGCTTCTTCTACAACAAGTTTTCTTGCCTGGTTTACACCAATTCCTCGAATATTTGACAAATAGTCACAACCCGTTACTATACACATTTCAAGAAATTTAGTTTGAGTCATGCCAAGATTTTCAAGGGCGTCACTCAATTCAATACAATCACTCATTCCACTCGTTTCCATTTTGAACAAAACCTGCAAGATAAAGAATATATGAATATTGTTGTACATATAACATTTTTTGTTGTTATTATAATAAATGT